TGGCTCTGTCTTAGGTTGCCGAGGTTCCACGTGATTCTTACACTTTATTTCGTAAAGTGTAGGCATGGCCTCTTTGCCCTTAGTTTTCCTTGTTAGAGTTCAGAAGTTTTATGTCTTTCTGATTCTGAACTGCTTGTTCCCGCTTAATCTGCTGTCTAGACAGTTACAAACCTGTGCCATTGAGTCAATTCTGACTCATAACAATCCTGCAGTGACCCTGTAGGTCAGAATAGGATTGCCCTAGAGCGTTTCCAAGACTGTAAATCATTATGGAGTCAGACAGCCACATCTTTTCCCATGAAGCAGCTGGTGGATTCAAACCGGTGAGCTTTCAGCTAGCAGCTGAGCACTTTGCCACTCTGCCACCAGGGCTCCACAAGTGCATAGTCATAAAATCCAAATAACCACACCAATTTAAAATTTTTCCTTTTAGTTAGTAGGTGTAACTTTCCTGTCAGTAACAGTATGGTATCAGGAATGAGTTTCTGTCCTCTCTATATGGCTCAATTGAAAAACTAAGTAAATTATGATGTGTAAGCTTCATTAGGTAAAGGATTAAGTCTTCTGCTGTGTTATATTTTAAAGATAACATGTAGATGAGGGTGTATTTATCCATTGTAGGTCCTTGTTGTTGTTGTTGTTAAGTGCCGTCGAGTCGGTTCTGACCCATAGCGACCCTGTACAGGGTTTCCGAGGGTGTAAATCTTTACAGGAGTAGAAAGCCTCATCTTTCTCCCGCGGAGCAGCTGGCAGTTTCGAACTGCTGACCTTAAGGTTCGCAGCCCGATTCGTAACCACCACGCTACCAGGAGACAGGATTTGTCAGTTGAATTACTACCAGCTTAGGTTTAGTGATTGTAAACATTCTTCCTTGTAGCCTTAGTTTAAGGCAATAAAGGATCCTTAAAAGCAACTAGGCCATAAATAAGGGCTGTGGGTACAAGAATTCCTAAAAACAATTAGACTATAGATAAAGGCTATGGGTATATACAGATACTAAATAAAAAGTCTGACTTAGACATTCTTAAATTAATGATCAGTAAAATAGAGAAGTTGTTTTTCATAGCCTCAGTTTTTTAAGTGTTCTGATAGGTGATGTTTTTGTATGCTATAAACAGATAGTGTATGGAAGAAGTTAATGGAGAGTTAATTGCACCTAACAACTAAAATTAATAAGACTTAACAGACAAAGGTTAAGAAATATATGTGAAGGTTGTAGGTCCTTAAGAATTATCAAATGAGAGAGTGAAAGGCTTACAGAGAAATACTTATTTTATAATAGTTAAGGTTTTCAACCACTTCACTTCCAAGAAAAATGCAGTGTTCCTTAACTTATCTAGGGTGAATAGCCCTGGGACATGATTGAATGCTCTTGACAGGCAGTTAAACAATGACTCGGTGCCATGACTAAGCCTGTGTATCTTGCCCTTTAGCACAGCACTTCCTTTTTCAAATAAACTTCAGCCTCAGCAGCACTTTTGTTGATAGATAGGTACATATTAGGACTCGGTGTTTATTTAATAATTCTTAAGAAACAACTTTCTACTTCTGTTTCATGAAAGCTGCCTGATGTTATAGTAATTCTCACTGGATATATTTAGTCTCTGGTCTTAGGGTCCATTTTTTAAAAAAGGACTTTATTGAGATATTAGCATGTCATAAAATTGACCCATTTATGTATACAGTTCAATGGATTGGAGTGTATTTACAGAATTTTGCAGTCATCACAACAATCTAATTTTAGAACATGTCTATCACTCTAAAAAGATACCTCAGAGACTTCATGCTGGAGCCAGGAGCCCGCGGCTGCCGCCATGTCCCACCAGATCGGCATCCAAGCTAGTGAAGATGTTAAAGATATCTTTGCCAGAGCAAGAAATGGGAAATACAGACTTCTGAAAATATCTATTGAAAATGAGCAACTTGTGATTGGATCATGTAGTCAACCTTCAGTTTCGTGGGAGAAGGATTATGATTCCTTTGTTCTCCCGTTACTAGAGGACAAACAGCCATGCTATATATTATTCAGGTTAGATTCTCAGAA